AACGTGGGCTCTTAAGAAGGGCAAAACAATGATACCGCAGTTTCAATTCTTCTGTCTTTCTGCTCCTCAGGAGGAGATTCTCTTGATTATAAGAGAGATGCTTTTGTTTAGATACAGTGGTTGATACAAATTTAGAACTACAACCTCTTGTTGGAAGTTATTCTTTTAGATTTTTAACTTTATTTAAAAATATTGCAAAGGCAAAGGAAGCAAAAAAGCAATCTAATAATCAATAGATTCTGTTTTATGGGAATAAAATTACAGTCCTTTAAAAACAACTTAAAAAAATGACATTACAAACTGTGGTTTGCATACCCCAGAAAGTCCATGTGCTGATGTATATTTTAACAGTGGAATTGCTGATAGTGTGTATAGTCCTGTTAAGGAATATTTTTGCATGAACACCTTCATTTGCACATTTAGAAATAGTTCTTTAAAGTTTCTGCTGATGTTTTTCTCTGCATAAATCATAGTCACATTTGTGGGACTACCTTATCAGTATCTAGCTTTTCATCTGATCTACTCACAATTCAAAAGAACTGTAGCTTTCATCTCCTACAGTCAAGATCTAAAGCTGATCAATCATATTATGGAGCTGCAGAGAAATTACAAATAATATAAACTCGAGAACCAGCTTTATGCTGGTGTGATCTATTTAGCATTCACAATTTGAGCGGGTAGGATTGGATAGACTTGGATTCTGCAAATCAAAAGAAACAAGTGCCAAGAGTCTTATGTTCTACTTAACAAATATTACATTAAGAATATCCCCCAACAATACACTGAAGTAACACTGGAAGCTAAATTCCTTTCTGCAGAAGATAACATGCAGTTTTTGATGGGGCTCTCCATTCACTTTGGACAGCTGCTTCTATACTATGCATATGTACATCATGAATCTGTCACTGAAAATCATCTTGAGAAACTCTAGTTTGCAGTACACATTCAACGGTTCACCACTGAATTTATCTGAATACAATAGTCTTCCTGAGTCACTAATATTGAGTGTCTAAACCTCAGCTTACTGTATGCACAAAAGATTTCCAAGTAGCTTTGTGGGTTGTCGAGAAGCTAAATATTTGCAGTAACTCTAGACTGCTGAAACGCTTAGTGCTTTCTTTGCAAAGGTTCAAGCCTTCAAAACATTTTGTGCCCAGCTCCATAGCCAAGCAGATGATCTACAGTGTGTTTTACAAACAGTATCTATCAGATACTTAATCCAGCTCATAATGGTGGCCAGCAGACTGTGATGGGCCATTGCCAAAGCCAGATGACTCTGCGTGACTTTCCATGGTATTAGAAGGCAGAAAATAAGTTGCAGCAATCTCGCTCATGAGGAGTCCTACTAAGGCAGGCCAGGAGGTTGGCACTGCTGGAGGCAGGACAGACCAGGGATGCACTGTATGAGGCTTTGGTAATTCTCAGTTATGCCTCCTCTGGAAGGAATAAACTGAGTTTTGAGAAAGGCCAGGACTAGAGAGATGTAAAGCAGCCCCTGTCCATTTTCAGGGCACCCTGTGAGACGTGGGGCACAGTGGGGAATAGAGATGTGCTCTTTGTCTTTTAGGTCGCTCACCTCCATTCAGATTCATTATTCCAACACCAAAATGAGTTTGTGCAACACTCAGAGCAGACAAGAGACTCAGTGGTCTGCAACTCTTGCAAAGGTCAGAGGTTTTTTTCGGTTATAATTATCTGACTAAAACTTGACACTTTACAAAATGTGCAGGGAGTATCCTTTTCACTTTCTGTAAGTGGTGAAAGAGCGTCATGTACCGAATGAGCAATTCATTTACCATCACGTAGATCAGTGGCAGACTCATGAAAAGAACATGTGAATCCTGGCTCAAATTATCCTCCCTCCAACTGGCAGATGACACTGCTTCCCCCACTGACACCCCTTTCACTCAACAGTGGATTTAGACCGGTTTTCATGAAACCTCATGAACACTCCCTAGCAGGATCTTACATTTCTTCTTAACCATGCTGTTACAATGCAAATACAGCAAATCCCTCTTTCGCAGCCACCGCATATCAAGCTGAAATTGCATCAGCTGCTTTCCATAGGGATGACTCTAAGACAAAAAGCAAACCCTCACGTGCACTGCTCTTCTTTGCTCTGGGAACCGTTTGATATGAATACTTGTTACCTTTAAAAACTGCACTGATGAGGTGCAGTAGATTAAAGCATCTTTCCTGGCAGCAGGCTGGGCAGTTTTTCACAGCATCATAAATCATTGATGTAAAGAAACAAAACCAAAACGCAATTCCTTCCTTTACAGGTGACATGAACCTTGAAGAGTATTTTGCAAGAACTGGCTATAAAGGTTCCCTTGAAAAACAAGATTTGGAAACCTTAACCGATATATTCCAGCACCACATCCGTGCTGTTCCCTTCGAAAACCTCAGCATCCATTGCGGGGAGAAAATTACTTTGGAGTTGGAGCACGTTTATAACAAAATCGTGCGGAGGAAGCGGGGTGGCTGGTGCATGGAAAACAACCAGCTGTTGGGCTGGGTCCTGAAACGCCTGGGGTACGACACCAGCTTTCTGGGAGCGTATGTGTTCAATCCACATCAAAATGCATACGCCACCATCATGACCCATCTCCTTGTAAAGGTAGTTATTGATGGCAAAGCCTATGTTGTTGACGGAGGCTTTGGTGTATCCTATCAGATGTGGCAACCGATGGAGCTTGTGTCAGGGAAAGACCAGCCCCAGGCTCCTGGCATCTTTCGCTTCACGGAAAAAAATGCCATCTGGTACCTTGAGAAAATGAGACGGAAACAATATATCCCCAATCAGAATTTCTCTAATTCTGATCTTCTGGAGAAAAAAGAATGTCGGAAAGTTTATATGTTCAGCCTTGAGCCACGGACAGTGGAAGATTTCCATTTCCAGTGCATGTACCTTCAGACGTCTCCAGATTCCCTCTTTACAAAGAAGTCCATCTGCACCCTCCAGACCACGGATGGCTTTCGAGCGCTAATTGGGTGGACACTCACTGAGACCACATACAACTACAAGGAAAATATGGATCTGGTGGAATTCGTAACTCTTGAAGACGAAGAGGTGGAAAAAACACTCAAAGAGAAATTCAACATAACCCTAGATAGAAAACTTGTCCCAATTAACGTCAAAGGATTTTACACAATCTAGATGACCAGAAAAACCTACAATAATGCTACGTATGTACAGTACCTTCCACTGCCTGTGCAATCACCACTGTAAGATTATGGGATTCTTTTGCAGGTGATTGAAGGAAAAATACATTAATGCCAGATTAAAGTGGATTCCACTCTGGGAAAAATCAGGAATTTAAGACCCTTCTGTCAGGTAGATAGAATTATTTGCTGTGAGATGACTGCAGTTCAATTTTTGGCACAAATGTAGGATCGGATTTGAATCTGGTTATAAACTTGGGTAATAAATATGTCTGGGGAATTTTGGAGTGCCTATAGTATGCAGGAGTATGGATTATTAATTGTGATATGCTGCCGACACATTTTCTATGGTTATTATAGGGAGAAAAGTGATCTGTGAACATTTAGACAATGAAGTACACATTTTAAACTTCATTTTTCACAAGATCTAACCACTCACAGCTCATCTCATTTCTCTACCTTTAATATAAGTAAAACAGTGTCATCTTTGAAAGGAGCATTAGGAGGCATAATTCTTTCACCATCATCCTTAGACAAAACATCGTACAAAATGAAAATTATCATCATGTGCATCCCTTTTGTCATTGCTGCAGTAAACTGCCCAAAGTAATTTTTGGTATGTATGTATTTTCTGGTGATCCAAATGGTATATATTGCAGCATTACTGTGGCTGATGGGCTCTGAGGAGATTCCTACAAGCTTTGCTTCTGATAAGTAATCATCCTATAAAGGGTGAATGGTGCTTAAACATCACAACTGGCTTAGATTTACTTCTATCCCAAAAGGGGTGGAAATTTTGTGTTTTTAGCATTGCAAGTTATTTGTATAACAAAGGTAGAACAATGAAGCTAACCCCACCACACCCTTAATTTTGCCCTCTTTTTGTATAGCAAATATGGGAGTCCATGGGTTTATCCTGAATGAGTACCACTTAGCACAGGAGCTTTCGTGTCACAAGTGAGTTCATTCATCTGTATCAAAGTGAAAAAAAATCAAGGAGCCAACCAATTCTAAAGGAGTCCCTTTCTTTAGAATTTTTTCACAATCACATTTCCCCATTTTTTCAAAATTTTTTTTTTGTTCCAAAAAGCCCAAACAAGGAAACCACTGAGAAAGAGGAAACATTCTCAAATGCATCAAAAAATAGCAGTAACACTGAAAAATGGCCTTTCTCCCCAATCTATGGTAATCCTGAGTATTGGTCAAATGTTGATTCCTCCCACTGATAGTATATCTTTTTGCTCAAAGACATAATCTGATCATAAATCTCACAAATGCTGTAAATGTATACCTGAGAATAAATAAAGGAAAATAAAAACAAAGAGTTGCTGTAAATACAGCCTCCCCCCCACAACTGCATGACTCTTGCACACACCATTTGTTAAGTAAATGAGGTCTGTACCATCATGCTATCAATCTGTCGGCCAACCCTTCCCACCACAAACTTCCTGAACCAAACAGGCCAATATTGAACAAATTTGACAGCAGTGTTGGAGATGGTAAGTTCCTACAAGTTCCTGGAAAAAGAGCTCATAGGCTGAGGAAGAAGATGATCACTGAAGAGGAGGCCCACTAGTTGCCTCCTCTGCTGGGCTCAGCAGCCAACAGCTCTGGGCTGGCCACGGTGCGTGCAGGCTCCTCCCTGCTGACCGGCTGTGGTGGTGGCTGACGGCCTGGCAGGAACCAAGGGCCAAGCAGGAGGCGATAGGGGACACTGAAAGATCTTACTGAGGTGGGAACACAGTTTTTCTATAAATAATGGAACGAAGGACTTTGTTCTCTAATTTGTGTTCATGTTATTCTCTCATACTAAGGTCCCATTAAGGGGTTTTGCCCCTTTCTAAATGACTGATCAAACCAAGGTGTTCCCCGAGACCCCAGGGAACATTACGAGCTTCAAAACCCTCACCACCTCCATTCTAGCTGACAGAAATTCCCATCTGCATTCACCCAGGTCACCAAACTGTATCTCTCTATGCAATGAAGTACAGTTGCTTTCTGGTGCTGCTGCCTCTTGTCTTGAGGACAGCCATTAACAGACTGGTTATTTTGCCTCTATACTTCTCTAGAGATGTTCCTGCTGTTGCTCCCAGGTAGTTGCTCAGGTTATGGTGTGGAAGGGTTTCTTGGGTAGAAGTCTACAGACTCATATTGGCATTTTTAATTGTGCCTGCAATGATGGGACTCAACCCAGATACCCCCTTCTACTATTCCGTTCTTGCTAAAGATCTACGGAGCTGCCGATGACTGAAGCGTCAACCCTCTCTCTGACTCCATCTGTTGATAACCACTCTCCGAGTGGGATTTTTCCTCTCGATGTAACAATTATAACCAGGTCCTCACTGTGCAACATCAGATCATACGAAGAAATGTCAACATGTACAGCTGAGGAAGCTTCATAGTTTAACTAAAGCTCCCCAAAAGCTGATGAAAGCAGGTTATTGAGGTGTGAATGCCAGACCCAAAATGCCTCAAAGGTTTGAGATGAGAACGGTGTAAAAACAAACAAAACCAAACAAACCCAGAGGCCTCAAGCTGAGGTTCCATTAGCGAGGCATTATTGTAGAAGGGAGATGCTCTCCCAGACTGGAAAGAAAAGAAACAACCAAGTCCTTAAAGTACCAGCTCTCAGAGAAACTTGCGTTCACATGCAGAAAGGAAACACAGGATGTTTGACATCCTTCACTACGACTATGCTTTATTAACACTCTCTCTGAGAAAGATTTAATGAGAGTCTAAGCTACTGTGCAGTTTTAGTTGTTGACTGTTGTTGAAATGAAGCAGAACAAACGTTTATAACCCCCCACCCAGGTCTTGTCTAATTCCAAATACAATGTAAAAGTACGGTATTCCAATTAACAGAAAGACGAGACATTTTCTTTTTACGTCTGAATGCTGGATTAGGTCCCAGAATCCCAGCCCAGCTGCCCACTACACACACACGCAATGCCCAACGGCAACAACAGCCATCCACGATTGTAGAATTGTATAATGGAGTGTATTGTTAGAAAACAAGACACACAGAAGAAACACGGTTCAAACTCCATGGCACCACTGAACATCCTCCCCCCTCCCCAAAGAATCAAAGTTTAATCAGCTCATGCATTACTAAAGGGAGGATACAGGATGGCTTGCTTCAGTTGGACTCTGGTCCTGGACTTTCTAAGATCCAATACTAAGCAGAATAAAAGTAACAAAATGAGAAACATCAGCAAGGAAGATGATGTTCAGTACTTCCATGTTTCCAACATCAGCAGTTATTACAGAAATAAACACTGTCAGCCTGTCAAAGGGAGGGACAAAACTTCACCTGACAAAAGACATGCTTAAACTTAACACCGTGAGCTGTCAGTGAGCACGAACTACAACACACACTTTGCTTTGTTCACTTTAATAGGTACCTTAGCGTAACAGGCACACACACTTCTGGTAAGTGCCTGTAACTCTCTACCCATTAAATTTTGCAGGTAGCCATTTTCTTTAACAAAAATGCTTACTACTTACCCAACTTGCTTTTGTTCTCAAAGAAGAAATGCTTTTCATTTAGAAACACGACCGTGTGGGAAAGTTCTACAGCTTAGGAAGTTGCACATGAAAACGCATCTGCATTTGAGACTCTGTCAGAGCCAAGAAAGCTTGAATTAATGTAGGTTTGCATTATGAGTATTGCACCGCTACACTTACATCTCTGTCAAGAGTAGTTCAACCACAGATTTTACATAGCAGAATGTTTCTACCTTGGCTAGCAAGCTTAGAAAATATAAGCTTGAGGATGAGGGAAGAGGTGCATATGTGTGCGAAATATATATATTAGAAAATATAAGCTTTATATATTTTTATATATAAAATATATATGTATTTATAAGGTTGGAAATACAGACGGGTATTTCAGAAGATCCCAAGATAAAATGCCTGCTTGTAACTTTGGGCCCTTAAAGTACATTTAAAAAGTCATGTAGGGCTGATTCCTAGTTTTGTCTTGCTCATAACGCACTACGAATGGTGCTTTTAAAAGTGCATTTTACAAACTCCCCATGAATAAGAGATTGTGCTGAAAATTAGTACTTGGTCTTACTGTAGCATTTCAATAGCTCACCTAGCCACCAGCTAAGCATGAACAGCAGAGCACCCAGATTTGAAGACAATAAACCAAAATCTATCATTTCTTCACAGTTGGTGTGCGGCATGCTTAGGGAACAGAACCACCCTTCCCTTCCTCCCTCCCAAATTCCAAAATCATGGATTTTCTAGGAAGCTGTTTAGAGTTCACTCACGCTCTTACCCACGCACCATGCCACTCACATTTCCAGCCATCCCTCAGAAAATGACATGAAATTAAGTACCAACGTACGGCAGAACGCCCTTTAACTGCGCAAAATTACCCCCCATTGGACTGAACAGAACCCTGCAATGCAAGAGAGCTCTCTGCATAGAGCCTTGGCAAAGAAAGACTTCACACGGAGTTCATCTGAGCCACTAACCGTTATCAAAATTACCTGAAAGCGCCTTTACATGACACCACTGGAACCCTCTCCAACGCACTGTCTCTCAGGGCGTGCAATTGCAGTGACATCTCCTGGTGGCTGGTGGTTCACTAGAACACACCTTCCCCCCCTCAACTATCCAGCATAGCTATGCAGAAATTCTCTCTCCATTGAAGAAATGTGTTCACATAGAGGGGAATCATTTTCCTACTAATAAGCAAGAAAGAATAATGGGATATATTCTCAGTTTTTCTTGTGATGACCAACAATAAATCATTTCTTAGCTCAGGTCACATCTTCCATGGCAAGAAAAATGTCTTGCCATCATTAACTTCTTTTCAGCTAGCAATAATATATGATCAGGTTTTAAATAATTGAACCAGTAGTATCTAATTAGCTCTGAAAAACTATCTCAGATCATGAATCACAGACTTTCCACCTGTATAAGGTCCCCTTACTACCTTAAAAGTATATTTCTCTTTCCATGTGTGATCCATCTTGAATATCTAATGAGGTGCTCTTGATATATGGATTATAGTTCATATATCATATGCAAAATGCAGCAGACACACAGTCTCTTTCTTTATATAATTGAGTTGCATGTCTTGCTTCACTGAGTTGTTAAAAAAAGAAAAAAAAAAAAGCCTCTTGTGTCCATGACAGAATGGCCACTACTTGCTTCAATTTAACAAATTCCTCTCTCTCCAGAGAGTCAGCATTAAGGATGAGTAACTTAGACATCTAGCTGGGGAAATGAAGTAATAGAAAGAAATATTTCTTGTTGAAAGCCAGGATACAGAGAACTGCTATGATTTTAGACACCACCACATTGACATTTTTCAATGCCCAGAGCACTGACTGACCAAAGGGCATGATGTTTCCGTCCTAACATTACTTCAGACCGCTTCATTGCACACTAAACAGAAAAAGTCAGTGCAGTCAGCTAATATTGGGGGACATCTGTGGCCAGCACAAAACAGTATCACTTCTTGTATCAGATTGTATTAAGCATTATTTTTTACATTAAATTAGCTAAACCACAATCATTAACCACAGAAAAAAATCAGGTTTTATTCAGCTTTCAAATGTTTCTGAAACCGTTATTATGCTTTTATGACAAGATCTAGATAATTATAAGATTGATTTTTTTTTTCTGAAAAAGAGACAACATTAGCAAACTTCTTTTGGAAGACACAAATTAAGACTCACAATTTGCTCCAGCGTCAATCTGTAAATGTTGCCCAATATTTGGCTTGCTCTATAAAAAAGTTTTTACAAACCCCTCTATTTTTAAATAAGCTTTATAAAAAATAAAATTCAACAAAATGGATTTTATCTCTCTGTTCTTTTCCCATCTTATTTTTAGCACAGTAAAAAAACCCCAAAACATGTTTCTGCTGACTTTTTTCAACTTGAAGACAGCAAAGGTTTTCATTTTCATAATAGAAAACACAGTGAAAGCTGAACTGCCTTACTGGATTGGACAAAGCACGTCTTTACTCCAAATAGTTCTTTCAGATGTTAGCATAAATTGTAAATAATGTTGCTCTCGATTGCTTGTGACACTCGATCTAGTTATGCACAACATTTAAAAAGGCTGATGGGATTAGTGCCCCACACATTAAAAGCTGCTGAGAGAGGAAAGGATGTATGACATCCATTATATACACATCCACTTTGAAAAACGTTTGTTGTGCGGATGGTAGAATTTTCAGTGAGAACAGACTCAGATTTACAAATCTATCCTTTACATTAAATAGCAAGAACTCCAAACAATCTCCGGTTCATGTTAGTGTATTTGGAAGATAACATTTCTATTAGCTCCAGTTGTGCAGCTGACATTAATCCTGAGGTTTTAAGAACTTTTTCTTTGCTTTTTTGCTAGGTCTTGTGTTACTACTCCCATCTTCATCTTCATCCTGGAGTACATGCTGGTCTCTTTTTCTCAAGAATTTCTTCCCTATCGTTCCCACTAATGTTTCATATCTGTAAAGATAATAAAAAATTTACAGCTTTTACTAACATCAGAGAAAATGTCAATGGAGCAAATCATAAATCTAATCAACAATTTAAGTGGTGTAAAAAAGCTGGTCATCACAAGCTTCAGAAGCACAAGTACTACATGATCACTTATTATATTATTATTCATTCTGATAGTTTGGGTTTGTTAGCAATCTGGAACAAGGAGGCAATTAGCATGGAATACCTGGATATCAAAGGGCAGAAAACCCCTATATTTCATCCCCAAAAGCGATGGTGATTCCACTGAATACACACCAGAATTCCTGGAAAATCAGTTCTGTAAAGTACCATATTCTGTTGTGGGGTTTTGTTTTGTTTGTTTGCTTTTGGATTTATTTTTCCCACACATAATGCAGTAACATCATATTCCTAGCTAATATTCATTATGTCATAAAATAGAACTTACCTTCTGGCCATTTCTTCATCTGACACATCAGCCTCCATTTTACCATCCACTTCAATTTCTTCTTCCTTGCACCTAGAGTTCATTTGGATCATTAACTTCTGAAAATGAAGCAAGAAATAGCTTAAACATGTAACCCTGACATAACGGCAACTATGCTGAAATTCACTGGTAGAAGAAATGCATAAAAGGTAGGAATCAATAAAATTATTAAAAAAAAAAATATATACAAAAAATAAAAGGAATCAATAAAATCAGCAAAGAATTAATAATTCTTTGCTGTTCCCTGGTCAGGCTAGAGCATACCGTTACAAAAACTCATGAAGAAAAGGCAACATGCCTGCCTGTTGCTAAGCTAAGCTTAGAGTTTGCCTTTGGGAAAAGAGGCAACACAGAGACAGGGTTTTCAGTGAATTGTACTATTCAAACATCCTCAAGGGCACGCCAGACATCTTCAGGAGACCAGAGAATTAGATCATAATTAATTTTTCATTGTGATGTTAGCACATAGTCCTTGAAATGGTTTTGTTAAGAAGGAAAAACACCTGCAAGGTTTTACAATAAACTACTAGTAAAAACCATGAAGCAATAATATGCCAAGTCACAGTGAAAGCAAGTTCAAAATAACTAAAAGAATCCCCAGTAAATCACCCTGCATAGCCTTTTGCATACCTCTTAGTCTTTACACCTTCATCCTCTTGCTTCAGTTCAGTGGTAACATTTTGATTACTATCTCATTGTAGTTCTATCAGCATGAATCATGCCAGAAAGAAATTAAAGACTCTCTTGCCCAGAATTTTTACTTTGGAACTTTAAGCCCTTACTTACACAAGTAAGTGCTGAATAAATAGGGTTGAATGTTTGTAGAATTGGACTCTAAATTAAATGGCAGGAGGAAAAGTGAGCTATTGTTTTGGTGAGCAGCATGTGGGACAGTTTCCTCACTTCAGGGAGGGAAAATCTGCAGGAGTCATGCAATTACTGACCATCAACACAAGGACATAAAAAGCTTCTATTCACCAGATGCCGCGTTGATCAACGTTTTGGTTTGAATCAGGCATTTCCTGTACATGGGAGGATTTATGGAAGGTGCTGCGAAGGCCAAACAGCATGCAGTGTGAACACTCAAATCCCCATCCCCAAGGGCTTCAATCCTAATGCGAGACCACCTCAAAACAGAATATTTAAACGGTACCTCAATTTCTGGATTGAATCCTTTGAAGGACATTCTGCCATAAAGTAGATCCTCACATGGCATAAAGCTCCTCTCTTCTATTATAAAGCTCCTGCATGAAACCCCAAACCCAGCATTTGTCAAATGGTGCGTTTTAAAATAATCAAATTAAACAAATGCAAAAAGCATTTGCTGTCTTCCTCCCGCACAAATAAACAAAACCACAGTGTATTTTAAACCATCAGCTACTTTCTGAAGCTTAATTGCTCTGATAAATCTTTCAATACAAGGAGCTTGGAGTGCAAAGGAATACCTTTTGCCAGTAAAGCTGTGCCAGTTCCACAAGCAAAATTAACTCTCCTGACAAAAAACACTCTTTGCTGGTACGATTCCACCTACATTAATGCTTTTGCCAGAATAGAAATACCACATAAATATCAGTCTCCAGGTGGCATTACTACACCAGCAAAAGCTTCTAATTAATTTTTCATTGTGATGTTAGACCTGGCATTAGTTGAGTCTGTCAGGATATGAAACACTGTGTAATTCTCTGTTCAGCAGAGAAACATTTCCCCTTTCTCCCTCCTTTTTTCCTCTTTTAATGAGCACGGAGTGAGAAAAGAAACATGACCCTGAGGCGTTCATAATACACGCGTCAGATAAAAGTACTTCCATGAATTGTTCCATCCTTTTCCTCGCACACATATGCACCTCTTCCCTCATCCTCTTCATCTCCCATGTAAAACAAACTCCTACGATCACGGGAAGTTAGGCTGAAGAGATCAAGCTCATCCTCCTACCTCAAGGTAGGATCAGTTAAACATGTACCATGAACAGCAGAGGTCCATCTAACCCGTCCTCAAAAGACTTCCAATGATGAAAAATCCAGTGTCTCCTTAGGCAATCTATTCCAGTGCTTCAATAGCCTCATTGTTAGAAAAATTCTCCCAATGTCCAGCTTGAACCTTCCTTGCTGCAACTGAAGCTCAAATACCTTTTTGTCATATCCCCCAACAGTAATGGAAAATAGTTTATCAATGACCTTATTCAACTACCGTTAATTCCCTGGATCCCAGCTTTTTAAAAATTATGTATGTTCTCAGCAATTATGTATGTTCAAGCAATTTTAAAAGTAGTTCTCTTGCTATTTAAAGCACACTTCTAAATAGC